ATAACGGTACCATGGTAGCAAATCTCCGTACCAAACATTAATAATATTCGCCCCTTTTTACTGGTAGTCTCAATATAAAGGAAAGGAATGAAATAAAAAAACTTAATGGTGATTTTCGGAAATGAGCTATATCGATCCACATTTAGGCATCGTGAAGTTGAAACCTTCATTACAGTCAGTATACCTATGGTGGAGGGTATTAAAAGTTCGCCTAGCCGAACTAAACACCTTTTTTGAACCGAAGGGACTGTAATTTGGCATTTGGAGTTAATGGAGATTGAACAAAGTTTTGCAGAACATTTCTGATATTGGACCATGTGTTCACATTGCCTTTATATGAAAGTTCTGCCCCTATTTCGGTAGTAGAAGTTGCCGTTGTGACCTCAGTATCTGTAAATTGTTATTTAATTTTGACAGAACCACCATTTTAGAATGATATAGAACATATAAAATGTCCCGACCAATTTTAGGTATTTTAAGGCAGATAGAAAAAGTTCGCCCAGACAAACTTATCAAACGTTTTACCTATGTGTCTTTGCTGATCTCCGTTGACGTAGCCAAACGGAAATTTTTTTAAGATTTACTGTTGAGAAACATCGCCTGTTCATAATGAGATAATTTTTTACAAAAGTGTCCTTTGTCCCTAGCCAGGTCAAGTTCCAAGATGACCGATTAACTTGTGAATGTTAATATATGTCAAAATGTTTCAATTTTCTCTACGTGGAAAATTGGGTAGTTTCACATTTTGCATTCCGATCGGGGGACATAAATATGAATATGACTGCTACAGTAAACTGACATTTTCGGTATTTCGATATTTCAGAAAAATTACATTAAATATGGATTTATTTTAATATATCTGGGATCCAGTGGATTACAAAGTCTCCTGGAAAAAATATCGATATAGCCTATTTTAGTACATCAGAATATTTAACAGCATTATTTTGTAGAGTAAGATCTTCTTTCAAGTGGGTTAAAAGCATTATTTCAATAAATGAGAGTGTAAAAATTCGTTCTGGAAAATTCATATTTGTTTCATAAGTATTTCGATATTATAATACGATACAATTTTATTAATAATTCTAATAAAAATTTTAATTCCAATTTTAGGTATCTGGTGTATCTCTATTCAGCTGGTGGTATAAAAGTAATGAAAATTGACTCCTCAGTAGTTCCACTGACGGAGAATATATACCTCAATTCTGAAATCCAAACTATGGAACCTAAAGAAATTCATACAATGCAAATTGAATCCATTCGTTCCGATGTCATAGTCGAGCATACACCCGAAGAAATTCAAGCTAGAGATCAACTGCTACAGCAAATTCAAGAATTTGCCAAAGAAGTAACCGAACTTATAGATTACGATATATCAGTGACGGGGAAAACTCATGGCATTTACAAGAAATTCTGTTTACATCACAAGTGGTTGGAAATGCTGCTGGCTGAAGCTCAAAAACTCTGCGAAGTTGAAAAAAATTCCCTTGAACGTGCCATTGAAGATCAGTCTCGTATACGTGATTGGATTCGAAATTTGATAATGGCAAATTCGAATAGTATTACCTTTAAAGTGCGTGCAATATTTTCGAATTTTTCTTTTGAAAATTATGGCATGAGGAGAAGTAATGATCGATTTGCTAAGCTATACGATTTGTATCGTTTTTATGGTATGGAAAATATCGATGAGGAGAATGAAGAAGATGAGGAATTAATGGAGTTGCAGGAGGCATCGGGAGATAATGAAAGTATTGGTAGGGTCGTGGTCCAAGCTATGAAGAAACGCAATTATCTCCATATACAAGGTTCGGCTTATGAACATATCATTTCCGATGAATTGGCACTGCAGGATATTGATAGTGTGACAGCCAATCAAATGTATAATCACGATGCCAAAGTACGTATACTCCTAACGGATCGCTTAAAGGAAGAATTTAACAAACGATTTGAGGAGATTAGAAAAATTAAATTCGAACTTATGGAGGCAATATTGAGTACAAATAATACCCTGAATAAAATTTATGACAATATGAATTGTATGTTGCGACTACTCAAAATGGATACCTTTCAACCGCCTAAACTCTCGGTGCCCGAATGGAGCAATGATGAATTCATTCAGCGTATAATGGAAGTCGATGATTCCGAAATCAAAGCTATTAATCGACGTAAAAAGAAAGCTGAAATAACCACGGTAAAACATGGAAGACTTCTTCTATGGTCTGTGGATTTTTGGGTCCGTTCATTAATGATCATGATGGATGGTGTCTTGGAAAAACTATGGGAGGAGGAAATTAAAAAGGAAATACCAATTCCAGAATTTATGTTAAAGAAAGAAGTCACCGAATACACATTGGAAGACCAGAAAGCATTGAGGGAGTATGAGGAGAAGGTGCGAGTACTTACCGAAGATCGTAGAAAATATTTGAAAATTCTGACAGAAAATGATGCTCGGGTTAATGAAATGAAATCGAATTATATTTTGAAACTGAACGAACAAATCACACAAATGATGATAATCAAGCTGAAATATGATTTTGCCATAAAACATGTCCGGCTGAGGAATTTAAATATCAAAGTTATGTACTTTAAGAAGTTGCAGTGGCTAAAGAGGATATCACTGTTGAGGTAAGTCAAACTCGAATAATTGGCGAGGAACATTTGAAACAATTTCGGTATTCCCTCCATCATGAAATGAATCTTTAAACTATCTGAAATCTGTCGGGACCCTTATATGGTAAAACTAATATATTATGTACCGCCTGTTAATATGTTTGTCAGTAGGATTTTTATCCTTTGTTACTTACTTAGCTGGCTTGTGGCAGAACTTTCATTCCATAAGGCGATAGATGTTTCGGAGGATTTTTCTCTCAAACAATCCAAGAGTTAACTGCTGATCTTGTGCCAGTTAAAGTTATCCTGCATAGCCGTATTAATTTGCAGGAATGCCGAACGCAGACATGGCTTTATAAACCTATGAACGGATAGGGCTGTCGAATGCGGCTTTATAGTCGACGAATTGGTGGAATGTGTCGATGTGTTTTTCGTGGGTCTTTTCCAGGATTTGGCGCAGAGTCAAGATCTGGTCAATGGTGGATTTGCCAGGTCTGAGGCCGCATCACCAACATCTGACCACCAGTTTTGAAAAGCTGCTTTATTATTCTTTAGCTGATTGATTGCTATTCTGACCTCATCTTAAATACGTGGTATACACTATATTCCGTCATCTCTTATTGGTTCTGATGTATCTTCTTCGCCGCTACTATTTGATACCAGAAGCTTTGCAAAATGATCCTTCCAGATCCTCAACACGTTGTCTGTATCTGTCACCAGGTTTCTTTCTTAATCTCTACAGGAGGATGTACCTGCACCAAAGCCTTTGGTTTGATGTTTAAAAAAAATGGTAAAATTTCCGCACTTCATTCTGAATCCTGTACATTTTGATTTGCTCACACTCACGTTTTTCTTATTCTTTCTGAAAATACGTTTCTCCTATTAGCTTTTCTCCCGATAATTCTCCATCGCATTACTGTCTGCAGGTTTGCCCTATACGCTGCGATTTTTGCCTCTGTAGCATTACGACACTCCTGATTGTACCACGGGTTTCTTAATTGTGGTTTTTGGTACTCATGTGTTGCTATTGCTGCAGTTTTTAGGGAGTGGGTCATTCATTGGCATTGTACTTCTATATTATTATCGGGACAAGAAGTGCTTTCGTTAAGCAGGTCGGTAAGTTGAGCGGAGTAGGCTTCTGCTACCTGTTGTGTTTGCAGCTTTTCGCCGTCAAGTTTCCGTGTTGTGTTGGATCGAACCTTTGCGGCTACATTAAGACAAGTGCGAACCTTGGCTGCTACTAGGTAATGGTCCGAATCGATATTCGCTCCTCGGATCGGTCGAACGTCTAAAACACTGAATAAATGCCTTCCGTCTATCACAACAAGATCGATTTTATTTCTCGTTGTTCGATCGGGAGAAATCCATGTGGCCTTGTATATATCGAAATGATTGAATCTGGTGCTGCTAACTACCATGTATTTGCTCCGCGAAGTCAATCAACCTCATGCCGTCATCTGATGTTTCTCTACAAAGTGCGCACATTCCAAGTGCATATTCGCCGATCGTGGTCCTTTTTACGTTTGCGAGGGTCATTCTTTTTTTCGTTGCATTTTCATAGTAGGAGGGGGTTTCCCAGTGTGGGCAACTAACCCGACGCCTCAACCCATTTGTTTATAGTTCTTATGGGTGAACTCATGGCACATATCAGCTCACTATTTCAACGGGTGATGAAAATAGCTACCACAGGTGACATCGCGGGGAGGTCAGTGTCCACAATTGAGATAAAAGAGGGGCCAATATAAGCCAGGGCTTCGCCATGTTAAAGCCAATCATAACCGTTACTTGGTATTTATCATCTCCTACTTACATGTATTTTGTCCGGTTAGAAAATTCGGGACTGGAGTGCAACCTTAATACCTCAGATATGTTTTAATTTGTTTATAATATTTTGATTTCAGAGCCAACATCGACAAAATCAGCGAATATGTTCTGCGCTACACCAAACTCTCGGAGTGTTGGAGTAAATCTGTTGAAGAGCTCAAGGCCAAGGGCGAAACCTTAATGCAACGTGATCGCGTCATTGAACGGCAATTCAAGACACAATATCTTAATATGATTCCACAGCATATGGGCCCAGAAATGAATAAGATTTTCAAGAAACGTCCAAAAATGCCACCGAAAATTCTTCACTCTACCCTAATGTGTAAAGAACTATCCGCAAGGGTAAATACTAAAGCATTGCCGAAATATCCATTTCCATTGCCGAAAGATGTCACCGAATATTTGGATACATTGACATCGCTTGATGATGTTGGGAATATGCCAAACACTTTGGAATCACGCCATTGGGAGCAGTTGACAAAAATGAGACGTCAAAAGATCGAAATTGAGCTGAGAATAAAAGCGGTTAATTTGCAATTAGCCGATTCGATAGCTGGAATGAATTACTTCTCCAAGGAATTGCAAAATTTAAAAAACACAAAGACGGAAGCTCAGCGGCAATTGCAGGAGGCTCAGGAGGAATATGTGCGTATTTTGAATTAAATCGGTTTAGTCGTTTTGATTTGTTTGTCTTTTCCAGCTCAAATCCGTTCAAAATCAAACACTGGAATTGCGCTTAACCATGGGCCAGGTTGAACTTAACATCATGGGTTCAATGGAGAAACTTCAGAATTGCATTCTGATGCATGTGGATGATATCAATGATATTAATGCTCTGATTTTGGTAAATCTGTTAAAACTTCTTTTAATTCTGCATTTTCTAATTAAAAAAAAATCATATCCTTTCAGAAAGCTGGTCACATGAAACTCAAAGCAATGCATCGCGTTGCCTTCTTTCGACGTCAAGTAATCTACAAAGAATGGGAACATAAGGTGGTCAGTGCAAATATAGAATATTTGAAATTTATGTTGTACGTTATTGAAAAGTGTAAGGTCTCCATTGAGTTCCTCAATATTTTGAGAAATTGGGAGAAAGTCAAGGCAGAGAAACAGAAAATGCTCAATTCGGTTGGCCTCATTGAAAAAGCGATCGAGGATAAACAAATTTCATATCGACGACAATTGGAGAGACTGTGAGTTGTGTCAATTCTTTTCTGATTTTATTTAATATCAAAAATTTGTATTACAGAAACTCCCAAATAGCCACGATCCGCCAACAAATTGATGAAATGAAGCGGGCCAATAAATCCCTTAATCGCCAAATAGATGAGGTCAAGGTGGCTGTGGCATTCTCCAATTCAAATCGTGACTATCTCATTGAGGACAAACGACGACGGGAACAAAATGAAAAGTACAATTCTGACGTATTAGTGAATTTTCATTTTTATCTAATTTCTTTTTATTAAAATTTATTCGCAGAATGGAAAAACTCAAAAAGCGTAGCCAGCTTATTGATACTGTCCGCCATGACTATGCTCACATTATGGAGCTGAGAACAATTTTGGAATTGCAACGCTTGCGAACATATCCCACATTGGGTCCAAATCCAGACCACTGCTTGAAATAGACTTTGACATTATTTTTACAACCAACTCTTTTTTAATTTTTATACAATAAAAATGATAGAAGTATTTAACGCCAAAATTGGTATGAACTAACGAGTAATAGGGTATAGCTTAAGAGGAATCGTTGGCGAATATTTATGGTAATGACGTGGAAACAAAAATTCAATCACTCCAATAAGGCATAATACATAACTAATACGAATGCACCGGGTTCGACTGAATTTGAAGGTATAGTTCGTTGTTGTAGCAACGAAATACATGTTGAGTGTTATGGACTGTCTGGTTCTGGTCCTCTATCTCCAAATTCGAAAATGTTGCAACTTGAATGGGTTGTTTCCATAGAGAATTCGGCGATAGGTCAGTCGGCTTAGCTGGCCCGTTGAAGAGGTGCAACGTGTCGTGTGGCCCTAGTCCACATATCGATCCATCAATCCTTGCCCAATAGTAATTGAGACGGTTGCACCATCCTGATCTTAATTGAGCTAAGGCTACTCGTGATGTCATCAAAGGCCTCGACACCGTCGACCTGGACAGCTTGATTAACGACATCTTGAACTCTACATTGCCAAACATATCCAATAGTTTATTATGTAACTATGTAAACGGCAGCCAGATATATGTTGAGTTCAAGGGACAGAAGACGAATAGCCGCAAGTTAAAACCAGTAAGGAAAGTAGTAAACTCAGACTGGGCCGGCTATATGATACCCCTCACCACTTTGGGTATATTTTACATATGTATCCTAACAGACGACGCGTTTTGTTATAAATCAATATCTGAATCGATTTCAGGGAAACTTGCCAGAGACTATTTTATATAACATCAGTATGTTGTGTCAATCAGCCTAGCTATGGATCTTTTCACGAAGCTTAACAACATCATTCTAGACTTAATTCTCTACCCTATACCAAAATTCGTGCAAATTGAAAGATATATAGGGTCTTTGGTTCACCAAATACCTAAAATCGGATGAATATATATATGGGAGCTATATCTAAATCTGAACCGATTTTCACGAAACTTGGCAAACATCATTCTCGATCTTATTTATAGCTCTGTGCCAAATTTCGTTCACATAAAAAGATTTCCAGGGACTTTGGTGGACTATGTAAATCGGGCGAAGCTATATATTGGAGCTATATCTAAATCTGAACCGATTATCACGAAACTTTGCACACATCATTCTATACTTAATTTAGTACGCTGTGCCAAATTTGGTGCAAATATAGGGACTTTGGTACACACTTAACCTTAAATCAGACGAAGATATATATGAGAGCTATATCTAAATCTGAACATATTTTCACGAAACTTGGCACACATAATTCGTGACCAAATCGGAAGATATATAGGAACTTTGCTGCACCATTTACCTTAAAACGGACGAAAATATATATGGGAGCTATATCTAAATCTGAACCGATTTTCCCAATTTCAATAGGTTTCGTCCTTGGGCCAAACAAATGAGCTGTGCCAAACTGTACTTTGTTTACAATTTAACATGGACAAACGGACGGACAGACGGACGGACGGACATGCCTAAATCGACTTAGAAAGTGATTCTATGCATATTCTCCGAAGGAACCATGGGTCTATCTCGATTATTTTTGCCTGTTACAAACATATGCACAAAGACATAATACCCTGTACTACAGTGTGGTGAAGGGCGTCCCGCATGTAGTTGTCATCTTAACCTTCTCTTCAACTTCTATATTTCAAAATTCCCTGCCCCTCCAGATGGTATTAAACTCGTCACATATGCTGAGTATTGTTCTATCGTTGCCTCTAGAGAAGGTCGAATCCAGTCGAAGGCATAATCAACACATATTTATCTTCTATAGTCACAGGGTAGAAACTTGTAAATTCCAACCGTCACTATCTTCACATCGTGGACAAAGGATGTTAAGCGGCTAATAAATATACCCATCAGAGTCAGCGCCATTTACAAGGTTCAGAATCCTAAAATATTAGACGTCACCTTTGATAGCCTCCTTACATTCTTAGGAAAGCTAAAAAAAAGTGTAGAAGCACAATAAGAAGCTCAAAGCCATCTCGGTCACTACATGGGGCAAAGGCGTACTCCTTAACTACACCCACAAAGCTGTAACTAGATCTACCCTTAACTATGCTATCAATGGAGAATGCTTCAAACCACACAAAATAATGCCCCATCCAGGAAGTCATTCAATCCGACATCGGCCGATTGTCACAGTCCAGCAAGCAACTAAATCGTGCCCTTAATTTTCAACCATCAGCTGAGAAGTCCCTGCCCAGACTCTCAATGGAGAATGCTTCAAACCACAAAAAAATAATGTCCTACCAGAATTGGATGTGCCCAGATGAAGAGTGAGGATCATCTGCATCAAGAGGCAGGGATACCGTCAGTGCAGCAAAATAACGTGTTGCTCACCAACCGTTCCTGCTGACCATCTGCCCAAACAAAATATATTGGTTCATGATCCATCCCCTCAACACATCCGGAATGACATCAAGCGATACAGCAACGACATCCAGGAAGTCATTCAATCTCACATCGACCGACTGTCACAGTCCAGCAAGCAACCAAATCGTGTCCTTAATTTTCAACCATCAGCGGTCACCGAATCTGAGTAGTCCCTGTCCAGAAGAACCTGAACCACCTTAGCCCGGCTTCGGTCAGGATGGTCAGCCATTCTACATGCGTATCTAGCGAGAGTTGACGGGATCGAAGACCTTTGTCCCAATAGCAAGCTGGGGCCGGATGATATAGGTCATTTATCTGTATGTCCAATTCAGCCCACATATCTTCGTCCGATTGATCTGTGTCTGATACCAGTAGAAGTGACGAATTGTATGCAGCTTCCAACCTCAGGATATCGTCCGTCTATTTGGTGGTGACAGTAGGTATTCTCTACTACATATATGGTATATTTAATAGATAATTTTTAATAATTTTTGAAATCCGCACAACTCTTATAATATTTTTAAGTCACCTTTACGCAGTTTTCATCAAATTACCTTCCATTAGTGTAACTCTTCTAAGAAATGTTAGCCTTTTTTCTTTCATTTTGTAACGAAATGCAATGAAAATAAAAACCAAAACACTTTTAAACATTCCAAAACAATTTAGGACAATTCAAGCAACAGTCTCACAACTTTTATTTTACTGTCTAAATATTTTAACTAAATACAGACAGAGTTTACGTTGCCAGCCACAAGACTACACAGCCTGTACAACGGCCGACAATCCAAAAATGAACGAAATTTGTAAAAAAAAATCAAAACATTCAGTCATTTGTACAATTTCAAGTGTCCGTCTTAACACCAGGAATGATAAAGGTGTACAAATTTCCACCGAGAAAAAGAGAAAAAAGAACAGTAAAAGCCCAGTGACTAGAAGAAGTGTGGAAAATAATTCAAATGGAATTAAAAGTTTTAATTAACCTTTTCTTTAAATCAAAAAAAGAAAAACAAAAAAATGCAATTGTGTGAGAACTGGTAGTGGCAAGTGAATTAAATGATTTTTTTTTTTTTTTTTGAATAGCTATCAGAAAAAAAGTAAACAATGTGTAACGTGACAAAGAAAAGCTTAACTTCAAAGGAGTAAATTAGGAAATAATTAAGGAGTGCAATGAAGAGTTAATATGAATCAGAATCGCATTGGGATAGTCTTTCAACAAAGGAACAACTCTTGCATATCATTGAATTTTACTATCACATTTCCTGTTCTGTTATGTAATTGATGCCCATTAATTATCGATTCGTCGCCGTTCGCACCAATTGGACCTCTGTTACTTAACAACTGGGACAATATTGCGGAAGGAGAAAATATGTATAGGAGCTCTCTCCAAATTTGAACCGATTTCAAAACTTACCACACGCCAGGTTATATTAACTTCAGTACGTTGTGCAAAATTTTGTGTCAATCGGTCTACCTTTGGGTCTTTGGTGAACCATTTACTTAAAATCGGACGAACAAATTTTGTGCTGATTGGACCAACCTTGACGAAGCATTTATATCCAACATCTAGGTTATACTAACTTCAGTACGTTGTGCAAAATTTGTGTCAATTATGTGTAAAATCGGACGAAAATATACTTGTAGAAGCTATATCAAAACCTGAACCGATTTCAATGAGACTTGCCAGAGATTAACTTATATTTACTGCAGTTCATTGTACCAAATTGTGTGGCAATCAGACAAACTTAGGGCCTTTAGTGCACAATTTACATACACTAAGAAGAAAATCTGAACCGATTTTCACGAAACTTAACACACATAATTCTAGACCTAATTCATTACGCTATACCAAATTTCGTGCAAATCGAAAGATATATAGGGACTATGGTGCAGCATTTACATTAAATCGGACGAAATTATATATGGAAGCTATATCTAACTCTGGACCGATTTTCAGGAAACTTAACACACATCATTCTAGACCTTATTTATTACGATATGCCAAATTTCGTGCAAATCGAAAGATATGTAGGGGCTTTGGTGGACCATTTACATTAAATCGGACGAAAATATATATGGGAGCTATATATATATCTGGATCGATTTTCAGGCAACTTAACACACATCTTTCTAGATCTAATTCTGTGCGCTGTGCCAAATTTCGTGCAAATCGAAAGATATGTAGGGGCTTTGGTGGACCATTTACATTAAATCGGACGAAAATATATATGGGAGCTATATCTATATCTGGACCGATTTTCAGGAAACTTAACACACATTTTTCTAGATCTAATTCAGTGCGCTGTGCCAAATTTCGTGCAAATCGAAAGATATATAGGGACTTTGGTACACCATTTACATTAAATCGGACGAAAATATATATGGGAGCTATATCTAAATATGGACCGATTTTCACGAAACTTAGCGCCCATCATTCTGCACCTAATTCAGTATTCTATGCCAAATTTCATGCAAATCTAATGATATATAGGGTATTTGGTGGACCATTTACCATAAATCGGACGAAACTATATATAGGAGCTATATATAAATCTGTACTGA